CACATTTGAAGCTGAATCAAATGCGACTTATTTCCTTGGGTGCAGCTGGGAGGTTGTATAAGGCCCTGCTATATGTTCAAATTAAAGCTAGATAGAACTCACTTATAGAGTTGTTACACATTTTCAAGCTCTAATTTGATAGCTGGTTGGCTCTTTTTTATAACTGGATAGTCATTTTTATCATGTGATAATGAGTTTGCACTTGTGCCTGGTCTTACTTACTCACATGTGGCTAGTCTAAATTTATTGCATGATTGACCACTTAAATGTGTAATATATGTAATGTGTAGCATGGGACATAGAAACAGCCTCAGTGACAAAACTTGAAACATCAGCCACTTCTTAATTTCCCAACTGAGGATCCTAACAGCAAGCTCCCCAATTTAAACACTGCAGCCTAAGCTCCATTTTTATTTTTTCTTTCTGAGGCAGAGATAGTGCACTCGGTTTTTCATATTTGTCCAGCTAAGGCAAAGGGAATTTGCCTTTTTTCCTCTTGCCAGACAGAAATATACATGTACATAACTTCTCACTTTGGTAGGATGGCTGTTCTAGTATCTGCATATAGAATGATGAATTTAGACCACAGAACTGTTCACATTTGACCTGTTTGTATAAGAGAAGCAGTAATGGTACTATGCTCCCAGATATTGAGTCCGGGATTCTGCTTCATACGTAGCAAAGAAAAAAAAATCCTACTGCTACAGGCATCACTGGATGAGATTCCACATGTTTGGCATTACGGCAGGTGAGACTAGATAGCCAAATATAGCAATCCCTTTTGGACTTGCAAGCTATGCACCTGTTCCTTGTGTCCTGAACTGAATTATATCTTTATTCTCTACTAGTCATAGGGTGGCCATACATCCTGGATTAGCCAGGACAGTCCAAAATTTTGCAAGCTGTCCTGACATCCCAGCCAGTTGGTGTAAATTGAAGCAAAAGTCCCAGATTCAGCAAGCAGAGGCTACTGCTGTCCACAGTGTCCAGGACCTCTGCTGCTGAGCAGCTGCTGGAGGTGGGCAGCAGGCTAGACTGGACACCACTCCTCCTGCCTGGAGAAGGGATCGACTGGGGCAGGGTGGGTTGGGGAGGGGACTGGGGCTTGGACACCTGTGCAGGGTGAGCAGGAATAGCAGAAATTTCTGCGTACCACCAGCAGCCTCGTCCCCTGCCATTGCTGGGACCTGGGCTACGCGTAGTAGCCCCAGGTGGCTGCCAGCAGCAGGGAGGGGGAACAACTCCCAGCTGAGTCCAGCCTTTGAGTGCGGGGGATGGAGCCTGGCCACAGGCCACCACACTGTCCTGCGCCCCGGCTCTGCCATCAATTGGTGAGTGTGTGTGTGTGTGTGTGTGTGTGTGTGTGTGTGTGTGCGCGCACACGCACGTAGATATGGTGGCGCCCCGTGTCCCAGATTCCCTTACCCCATCCTAGATTTTCTTAACAATACTATGGTCACCCTAGCTAATCAACATGTCAAACTTTTGAGCCTTAATTAGTATTTGCTACCTCTCTTTGTTTCTCTCCATAACTCTACAAGTGCCTATAAATGCAAAGAAAATGTCCATGAGAACCCAGTTGTCTTTCAGTCAATGAAATATGCTAGGACTGGAAAATCTGCAGCAACCAACTGCCCATCCTGACAATGTCTGAAGGTGCTCAGTGGTGCAATCCTTTGTAGGGGTGGTGGAGGAAGAGGGCTATTTGGTTTTTTGTCTGGTTGTTTTGGGTTTGGTTTTGTTTTGTTGCGTTTTGCAGAGAGAATTATTGTCAAATTACCTTAAAATATATATACAGGAAGATGTGGTTCCTTATGTGGTTCCCTCATTCTGTGTTTTTCATTTGAGAAATAAAGTCACCTTTTCCCTTTGTGCAAGATCTTGAATTGTGCCTGCATCTGAACCTAGTAATACCAGCCCTAAAATATTTCAGTGATGCTGTTTAGCAGGACAATAGTAATCAATCCCCTCAAATAGCTGGAGAAATTAAAAATAAAGACTAGATGATCTGTTCACATCCCTTCTGACCCCAAACTACTATGAAACTATGAAATAAACCACAAAGAGGATTGATCAGGTAAATTGTAAATGATCACCTCATAGATGGTCATTTTAATTTAAATACATGACAAGTACCACCTGTCATCACCTTCCATCTTTGAATTTAGGAGCCTTTGATGTCTACATTTATAATTGAAATGTCACTTGCACATACCGTAACATGGAAAAAATATATTTATCCAAAACAAATAATGTGTGGGAGTTACTTGCATGGTTTTTCCCCTTTTGTCCTACAGTTTGCCATGTTTCACATTTTACATTATTTTTACATTTTCTGCCCTGTAGCCTGAAGCAAAGTAGATGTAGATTAAATATCAAGAAGACCTTCCTTACTGTTAGAACAGTGAGATAGTGGAAAAGACTGCCCAGGGAAGTTGTGGAATCTGCTTCACTATACGTTTTCAAAAAGAGGTTGGATAAGCGTTGGTTAGGTAGGATTTAGGAGTAGCATTGCTGCATTTATGCAGAGGATTCGAGCAGATGACCCTTGAAATTCCTTCCAACTCACTGATTTCACAATTCTAGGAAATTCTTTATTAATCTAGTATGACATTTTCCAAAGTGCCTGCATTATTTAGAAGCACAACGTCTCACTGAAGATCAATCTCACTTAGGCACTTTTAAAAATCCCACCTACAAAACTCCTCCATATTTAGGGAGGCTATGCTCTTCAGTCACTTGAAAATGTCTCTTTTTCATCTGCTGGGAATAACCTGGATCTCAGCAACCATGAAAAGGACCACGAAAATAAACTACATCCTTGAACACAGTTCCCAACTATGAGTTCATTTATGGCCTTAAATATGCAGTAATAACAGCAGTAGCAGCAACAACAACATAAAACTGGTGAAGAGAACAATAAATTATTGTTTAAATTAAGCATTTCATCCATTCTCAATCCCTTCTTCATACAAACAGTTTAATTTAGGAGTCAGCAACCTTTTAGTAACAGCATGCTGAATTAAAGTAGCTTAGTCCAAAAGCAGGCCACTGCTTTCCTTGTTGCTGATTCCTTACACTGCTGAATACTACTGCTGATTTCCATGCTGCTGACTTGCTGCCATCTGGCTTTGCAGGCCAGGTAAAATCACTTGGTGGGCTGGATCTGGCCTATGGGTCATAGGTTGCTGCCCCCTAGTTTAGCCCATAGAAAGAACCCCTGGGAGAATGCAACATCCTCTGAGCCCCTGTCCATTCTCTTCACTCCTAACTTAAGGAAAAGGTCTAACAAAATCTCATTTATTTTGTTCTGCTTGTGTTGAGAGAAGGAAAACAACAGGGCTTTGCCAACTCACTACAGCAGAGAGTGAATGATGTGTGAAATGAAAACACCCTGCCTAGTGCCCACAGAATATAGACAGAAAGCTAAATTCATCTCCAGTGGGACTCTATTGACTTCCATGGAGTTACAGCATGTTTAATCCAGTGAATACTGTAACTTCTTGGTGCAGGTATCTCTGTGTGCTGCAGAGACACATGCAATTTAGCTTGGTCTGAGTACGTGATTCTCTGGCCCCACAACCTTACCCGCAACCCAGCTAAAGGCCAAAGTGTCACTTATGTCCATTTAGACTATATTAAACAGGACTTAAGTGATGTGCAGATGTTTTGATGGTTCCTCTTGCACAGGGGTCAATTTTATTCAGTCAAAACCAGAGGAGCTCACGCCAAGAGATCTTGTGAAAACAAATGAGAAAGAGGTTTCTCCTATTTCCCCTTATTTCTTTTAAAAGGAAAGTTATTTTCTCTTCTCACACAACAAATTTCCTCCCCATGAAGCCATTTACTGTGAAAAGAGCCTGGAAGGGGAAGGAAGACACAAGCCCATCACACCAGGACAAAAATATAGCCCTTCCAATAGCCTTTACAAATGTGATAAATTACTCTCTAGCTCATCAACTGCTCATCTGCCCCCACCATGACTATTGACAACAATTGAAATAATGGACCAAATCCTTAGCTGCAGTAAATCAATGACACAATATTGATTTATACCAGCTGTGGTTCTGGGCAATTCCATCCAAGTTTTTAATCATGCCATCCAACTCCTGGACAACATGTTAGTGTGACTGCTCTAACCTAGTGTTGCATTACTAAATGCCTGTACATTTACCAATCTTACTAGCACTACCTCATAAGGCCAGAATTCAAATGTGTTTGTGCAGTCCCACTCTATTACCACCACTTCCCCTCCAAGTTAAGGCCTCCAGGAATCACCCAATACTGCCTGGAGTGACCCCACTCTTCTTTCCTACTAGGCCTTAACTGCCCCGGGCCCTAACAGGCAGCCTGGGCTTCTGATGGTCAGCATGCTACCCCAGTTAATGATTCCAGCTAGCCACCAGTAGGACCCCTTGCTTGGCTGCTGGGAAAGGCAGCCTGCCTATTTACTGCCACCTGTGGCAGCAAGCTGCAGACCAGCAAACAGTTTTTCTGGACTCTGGCTTTTTGGATACTCCCCTTGGATCTGGTAACTCTGTCACTGACTCTTGGTTCACCCTGATTCTGTTTCTGACTCCTGGTATACTTTGACTCCAGCTCTGAAACCTGGCATATCTTGACTTAGCTCTGGCTCCTGATTCTGGGTCTGGCTCTGGGAGTATCCTGACTTTGGCTATCTATGAGCTCATCCTGGCTTTGGCACAGGTTTCTGACTCCTGAACCTTGACTCGGCTTGTGATTTGGACTCTGCCTCTGGATTTCCTTTTTCATCTGGTAACTTGTATTCTAGCACCTAAACACTATGAGACAGTCCTTACACCAACTGCCAGAACCATCCAACCTGAAACTAACATGACCCTTTCCATCTTCATTAAAAGAGGAGGCATTGCCCTCTATATTAAGGAGATGTACTGATATTCTGAGGCGCACTATGAAGTGGAAGGTAAGCCTGTTGAATGCCTTTGGGTAAATGTCAAGGGGAGAGCAGTAGGGGGAAATCATGGTGGAAGGGGTAGATGAAGACTTTTTAAAAAAACTGATGGAAGTTTCCAACTCATGGGACCTGGTTCTCATCAAGGACTTTAATTATCAGGACATCTTCTAGGAGGATAACAAACCCATGTTCAAGCAGCCCAGCAAATTCTTAGAGTGTGTTGCGAATAATTTTTTTGATACAGAGAAGCCAAATAAGGAGGAAGCTCTTCTTGACTTGCTGTTTACAAACAGAGGAACTGGTTGAGAATGTGCAGGTGGAAGTTGACTTGGGTGACAGTGGCCTTGAAATTATAGAGTTCGAGATCTAAAAAGAGGAAGGAAGGAGAACAGCAAAATAAAGACATTGGATTTCAGAAAAACAGACTTTAGCAAACACAGCAAACTGTTGGCTTGTCCCCCTAGGAGACAAGTCTGAGGGGAAAAAGGGCCCAGGATAACTGACAACTTCAAAGAGATCATATTAAGGATGCAGAAGCCAGTTTACCTAATGCAATGGAAGAATGGGAACTGCAACAGGAGACCAGCCTGGGTAGCCAGCAATCTCTTCAGAGAGCTGAACCTTGAAAAGGAATCCTACAAAAAGTGAAAAGTTGGTTATATTACGAGGGAAGAGTATAAGGGTATTGCATGGGTGTCCAGGGAAAAAGTTAGGAAAGCTAAGGCACAATTAGAGATACAGCTGGCAAAGGGACATAAAAGGCAATAAAAATTGATTCCACAAGAATGTGAAGAGGAAAAGGAAGACCAAAGAAGCCATAGGTCTCTCATAGAATGCAGAAGCCAATTTAGTTACTAATGATGCACAGAAATACTTTTTTATACTTCAGCCTTCACAAATAGGAACAGCTACCAAATGAGGAGTACAGTAGGCAGTAAAAAGAGGAAAAGAGACAGCAAAGGGCATTTTTACACATGCTTTAGGAGTCACGTGTGGGTACTTTAATTAGTGAGTTGCACTAATTAAAAATCGCCCAAGAATCATGTATCATCATCCCCCCTGCTGAAAAATGTTAGCAAGGTATTTTGAACAAAAGCTCATTGAACAAGCTTTAGTTCAAAGCACCCCAGCAGCATTTTTCAGTGCAGGGACGCTGATACACATGACATGAGAGTCTGCTGGAGTGCATTTATTTCCTTGCAATCAAATGATTAATCAAGTCTGCTCCAACACGAATCCAGTTCATCGAAACCAGCTCCCTGCATGTCTATAGGAGCCCAAAGAGACAAGTAATTGAAGAATAGGCTAGAGACTACTTAGACAAACTAGATGTTTTCAAGTTGGGAGGGCCAGGTGGATATACTTTAGGGCTGTGGTTCTCAACCTTTTTTGTACCAGGCATCATTTGTAAACATCAGTGGCCAATCCTGACCCAGTGTCCCTGACTCCCAGCCTGCTGCCCCCAACCCCCCCCC